ACAAAGATTTAATACTCTTTCCTTACAACTTCGAGTGAGTGTTACTGTCGTGTGCATATTCGGTTTCCCTTATTACTCGAGCGAGGTTATAGTAATGTAATTGATGAGTTATGCATGCGTGCGCAGGTTGCACTATATTCTCCTGGAGATTAAGCTTGAGCGGGGACTAGTAACCGTCTTAGACTCGAGACAAAAAGATCCCGAAACCTATGCAGACATGACTAAAATGCTCAGCAAGTAAGTTCAATCGATCATTATCGCACCATATCGGCAACTTTTTGTTCATTTCCTGATATCTCAAGTAATAATAATTATTTTCTTTGTTTTGCAGGGTTTGTAAACAGTTCACCGCAGAAGCTCCGGGACTGTCGAAGGAGCTGCGATATACATACCCGAAAGTAAGTACTACTAGCTAGCTAGCTAGTTGCGCGCATCTCCCGTTGATAATCAGTTTGATTGACCTCTATTTTCTCGTAAAGTGCTTGTGGCAGGATCAAGGAAATGATTACTGTGGATACTACGTGTGCGAGTTCATCTACAACGCGACTTTGAAAAATAAGCGGGGCTACTCTAAAAGACAATATGAAGTGCGTAAGCAATAATTTTCACAATTTCATTTTATGACACCATCATTTCTGTTGAGTTTCATTCATATATATGTATTAACCCCCTTCTTCAAATTAGACGTGGCAGATGTGGAATGAACTCCTACCGCAAGATCACATTAAAGCAATTCAAGAGGAATTGGCGGGATTCTTTCTTGACCACGTCATCAATAAAGCCGAAGAATACCATGTGGAAGTTGATTTCAAATACTAGGGGATTGTAAGAGATGTTACATATTGTATATGTATGTAGCCAGTAGCGTCGGATAGATAATACGAAAACTTGTTGTTCGACCAATCTCTCGGAGAAGGAGAGGTTGATCACTTCTCTCGGTATGCATGACGAACTTCTGTACTTAATGGTTTCCTTCATTTTCTTACTAGCTAGCGTGTCGAGGGCCTCTCTATGTATAGTACGTAGCGTCGACCAAGCACGGACAGAAGAGAGGACACTTCTCTCTATTAATTAGCTAGCTAACACAATATATGAACCACCTAAATTAACCCCCCAAAACCCCCAACCCTCCCCCCTCCTTTAAAAAAACAAAAACCCCAGCCACTGAAATACTGACGCGTGGATGCCTATTGGTCCCGGTTGGTGCCACCAACCGGGACCAAAGGGCCTCCTGCCTGGGCTCAGCGCACCGGCCACGTGGAGGCCTATCTGTCCCGGTTCCTGTTTGAACCGGGACTAAAGGGCCAGGGCATTAGTAACGACCCTTTAGTCCCGGTTCAAAAACCGGGACAAAAGGCCCTTACCAACCGGGACAGAAGACCCTTTTTCATGTCAACGAGTATGGAAGTGCCTTATCATTCAGTGCCCGTAAGAGGAGTGACATACATCTTCTGTGTGAAAACTAGATCACCCAACATTTTATCAGCTTCATTTGTTCCTGAATCATAACAAGACTATTTGACATAGGTAGCCATGTTGCACAACTTATCACGTATATGTAGACCTCTGAAGTCAATATCAGTGGCTGATTAGTATCATGGCTGCACACTCCACAAACTTCTGTGACTAGTCGTGCGCACTTTTCAACATATGTGGCAAGTTGTGAGACCATGGGTGAAATTACTTCTTGCCTGGCACAACATTATTCATAATTTAATATAGATAAATATAGTATATTACAATTGAGAGCTCAAACTATAAAAACATCATGGTATCCTAACAATGGAAGCTACATGAGGACGAACCAAAACCCAAGCCATCTTATTCTTGGAACACAAATGCTGGAACTAAAATTGGCCAAAAAAGGAAGCTGCACCAATGCGTTCTAATCTAGAGAAAACCAAGCATCTCCTTCAAATAAATGATGAAAAATGGATTTTTGGAACCCAGGTGTATTGGAGGACCTTATTTTAAATACTTTGAAGAACACGTTTAAGATTTCAAAAAATTCTGAAATTTTTTCTACGTGATCATATGGATGTATATTACACAAGTATAAAGTTTGGTGATGAAATAAGTAAGTGTGCGAGCTACAAAAAATGACAAAATGGTGATTTCCAAATAGTGGATAATGTAAGCACTATTCATCTTTCCAAAATCACCATTTTGTCATTTTTGTGTAACTCACATGGTTACTTATTTCAGAATTTTTTGAAACTTCAAAATAGCATTTTGACACAGTTCAAAAAATAGGGCTCCAATGCACCCGGGTTCCAAAGTGACTTTTTGCAACTATGAATCCATTACTAAACTACGACAGGACCATGGTAAATGCCAATTGCATCATGTGCACCACCAGATCTGCCTAAGAAGACCACAACAAAAGTATTTTCCGGCACCGTGTCGTCAAAGCTTGTGCCCTGCACACTTCCGTAAGGCCCATGCTTTTTTATGTCGGTGACGAGAACAAGAGAAGTTATAACAGTTTCAGTCACAAGGTTGTCAATTGTCCCCGATATTTGCTTCACAAACTCTTTAGGGCCTAGCTCAATCTGCAAAAGATAACATATAGAGGAAATATATTACATCACATAATTGGTTGTATATGCATGCGAACAAAAAATTAATCAAGCAATCTAAAATAAGCTCACTGTCTGATAGTTCCCTCGACTGCTGCCACCCCAAGGACCTTCAGAGCGCATCTTCCCAAGTTTGTCGACATAAGAAAATTCAAGTGAAGAGATGCGTGAGCCACTATTTATTCTCAAACTTTGTAGACGTGACGGCTTTCCTGTGGTCAAGTCTTGAGGGAAACCTCCATTTTCTCCCCATGGCCCCATCTTTACAGGTTGTGTTGCCAATTTGTGCTAGAAATTCTAATAGAAGTTTAGATAATCCATGCATGAACCGCAATGGAAAAAATATACCAGTGATATGGACCACGAGAAGTTGAGGCACAAGGCGCGGATCCGAAGCTGATAAAACTTTTAGATCTTGAAGATGACAACACTTTGTGCATTGGCAAACTCACCGTTCCCACCTAGGATTGCCCATTCACGTTCTAATGGTGAGCCCATATTTCCAAGCACCTTAAGGTTGGAACCTCTAAACCCAAACCAGTCGAGTTTGCATACTTCGTGAATATGTATCACATAAACACACAATATCTAATCTCAGAAATGATCATGGAATTTGCAACATACCTCTCATCGACGAACACCGTGTTAAAACAAAGGGACCAGGTTCCTTCGGTTGTACCAGCACCCGTAAGTTCCCCCTATGCATGTGCCACAAGCTTCTTGTTGGGGCCAATGACATCATATATGGTCCAATCAGTAGCCGCGGTGCAGCCAAACTTCATAGGAAGGCCAGGATTCACTATAATGACCTCGTTCAGATTCGACGATCCTTGGGGGCGCTGCTCCATGTACAAGCCGTCTAAGACAAACTCCTAGGGCTGCAATACTCCCTGGCTAACAGGAGCACTCTGTAAATACTTAGCCATGACTACAACAAGGAGGATTAAGCTACCTATCTAGAGGCTCTTGTGTCTTGTGTGTTGGCGAGTAAATGGATAGAGCGGCAGGGGTAATTTATAGGTTGAAGCTGCATCCGTGTATTACTAATATTCTACTATGTATGCACACAAGTTACATCAGTACTAGTATTACTTAGGTAAAAAAAAAATCACATATTCCAATTTAGCCTCCTGCGTATTGCAAGTAGTGCATACATGCACACAAGTTGCACCAACTAGCTATGTTCTACTACATAATCTTATCTAGCTCCTAAGTAACGCAAGGTACATAATTTAGTAGTCCATGCATGCACACAAGTTGCACCACTAGCACGCTACCGCCCATTGGATCCATCAAACTTGCGATTATACTTGAGAGAGTGTGCAGTTTTTAAGGCTACTCGATACTCTACTGAGGTTTGCGATGCCACATTAATTGCATGGAACCAGTTGATCGCTTTCTCATATTGACTTCATGCTTTTCCCGATTGAAGAGCATTTCTAGGAGAGCTAATTTCACTATTTCCCTTTTTTAGTTTGATGTTCACCTCTATTGATTATGTGTTGTCCTGTAGTTCTCTACTGGTAATGTGCGAACTTCGACTATATATTAATTCACCATTTATGGGCATAAAGTAGATCATGGTGTTTTATATTTGCCATATTTTTTCTTTGTATTGATTGTGGATTTCTCTCTTGGTGAAGGAGGACACAAAATGGGGGACGGCACCAAATAGAGATGCACTGGAGTAGCTTCGGAAATGAAATACATGTTCTTTTCCCTTTAGGATTACCCAGTTTTGGCTGCCTTGTCAGCTCATAAGCTCTGTCAATGATGGCCTCTAATACTTGTTTTTCCAAAAAAAAAAGTTCGCATATTGGTGGAGTGTGGGGAGTGCTTTTCTTCATTTTTCTGTGTTATGGGGTGGATCTTTTGTATGTGATGGCTTCTTTCATGAAACCAGAGTGCCTCTTTCTCTACAAAAATGAATGCGCATGACTCACCGTCCGTATAACTTTGGCTATTGTATATAATTATATGCACAATATTTGTGTAATATGCTTTGTGATAACAAGTTAATTTGTGTGCATGCAGTATAAAATTGATCATTCTCAGATCAGATTCCCACTCCGCAGGACACATTAAATTTACCTACATTTTGTTCCATGATGGAGTGCTCTCTTTGAGTTCCTAGAACGAGGGAATAAAAAGGTATCCATGTGCACAATAAGTCCGTGAGCGTATCAGTTTCATTATTTCACTAGAAAACAATCTTGCATCACTTTATTAATTGTAGATAGAATATAGTAGGCGACAAATTAAACAAAGTACTCTCGCACTAGAGCGACTTGGATCATACACGTAAGGAGGACCCTAGCCATGTTATTGTTGAAAAACAAACAGTGAAACTAACACACTTTTCCTTGAAATAAACTAGCATGAGATTGCGAGACACTAAAGCAAAACGCCAATGAATCCCATTCAAACCATGATGGGGCCATGGTAAACACCAACGGCATCAAGAGCATTCCCGGTCCTGGCAAAGAATCCCACAACACATGTGTTTTCTGGCACGGCGGCGCTGAAACGATTGCCCTTCTCATGCCCAAACGGCCCATACTTTTTCATGTTTGTCGTGATAACAAGTGGCGATATGACATTGTCAATTGTCCCTGATATTTCCGTCACATATTCTTTAGGTCCGAACTCGATCTGTAGTCAATAGAAGATAAGAAACCACATTAACTCTTGAGGAGACGTACGAGTATGCATCAGAAGGCAAATTGATCTCTAAAGTGAACTCACAGTTTGACTGTTCCCTTTGTCAGGACCCCAAGGACCTTTGCTGCGCCTCTTCCCAAGTTTGTCAATATAAGTAAATGCAAGAGAGACAATCCAGCTGCTCTCGCTTCTGAGTGTCACACTTTGCAGGCGCATCGGGGTTCCGGTGGTGATGTCTTGAATGGAGCCTCCATTTCCACCCCATGGCCCCATCTTCGTAGGCTGCATAAGTTATTCCTATTGTGTATTAGCACTGCCCTTATATCTATAGTATACACACACTATGTAATACGGAGTGCATGCTAGGGTGTGCGTTTGCATGACTGAACTAGAAAAAAAAGATTGTACCATTGAAAGTGACGATCGAAAGCTGAGGCAGATGGCACGTATCTGAAGCTGTCTGACCCTAGTGCTTCCGTCCTGGACTTTCTTGAAGGTCACCACACCTTGTGCATAGGCAAACTCTCCTGTCCCACCAAGGATTGCCCACTCACCTTCTACCGGCTCTTCAAAATGTCCGAGCACCTTAAGGCTGGAACCCGCAAACCTGTCGCAACAACCGAGTGCATATACATCCAAATTTGGTATCACTCAGAAAATATGCATGCACTTATGTACTTAAAAAGTTACAAAAATGAATGAATGTACCTGTCGTCGACAAACACCATGTTGAAACATATGAACCAGCTTCCTTTGGCTACTCCTGCCCCCATATGTGGCCCTTGTGCACGCGCAACAAGCTTCTTATCGGCGCCAAGGCCATCATATATGGTCCAGTCATTAGCCACGGTGCAGCCAAACTGCAGAGGGAGGTTAGGATTCACTATAGTTTTCTGGTTCTGATTTGGTGATCCTTCAAGGTCCTGGTGCATGTACAGGCCGTCCAAGAGAATCTCCTTGTGCTTCAGTGCTTCATTGCTAACAGGAGCACTCTGGAAATACTTGGCCATGGCTACAGCTAGGAAGCTCAACTAAGCTACGGTAGCTAGAGGTTCTTGTGGGTATTGGGTGAGAAGATGGATAGTGGTAGGGGTAATTTATAGGCCGGGGGCTGCACGCATATACCTAGAGAGCTGGTAAAATCTGCATTACTTACCATTCATTTTTCCATATGTGCACACAAGCTGCACCAGTAGCTATTTTTCTTAGTCTGACTTAGCTCCCCGAGTAGTTAGCAAAATAAATATAAGGTATACACAATAAAAATAATATCATTGAAAAGTATAGTCAAATATGAATTCAACAACATATTTTTTTGTGACATGCATTAATATTCTGCTAGTCAAATCTATAGTTAAAATTTGACACAAAATATAAAAGGGACTAATAAATTAGGACAGAGATAGTAATTGCGACTTCGCGAACCATACGTAGCCAACACACTAGTACTACTAGCTGATCTAATAGTTTTCTTGATAAGTCGATACTGAGATCGGCCATGTTCATAAATTGCACCATTCCAATCCATAAATTGACCTAAGAGTGGCCTATTTACGGTAACCGATATACAGGACAACTTGCGTCATTCCAATCCATAAATTGCATGGAACCTGTTGACTACCGTTTCTGCTCCGGTGCTCCCCCCCTGGGCTGAACGCGGGGTGGGAAAACACATCGACGGCCAGGATGAACCAAAAACGCTTCATAACGAGGGGCACGATCGTCTTTGTTGCCCCCGCGTATAGCCGTCGAGGAGCCCTGGGAGGCCCGTACGGGCCCGGTTAGATCGTATGCCCGGCCGTATACGTATGCCCGTCCGTATGCGGCGGCCTTTCGTGCACGCATGAAGCCGCCCGCGCCCGCGCGCTCCCCGCAAAAAAAAGAAGCCGCCTGCGCGTGGGGCAGCACGTGTCACGGGTAGTTGCCAAAACTGTCCCATCATATAAATGTGGACGGTAACCACCTCCGGCCGCATCGCCCACCATTTCCCCCCGCCGCATCGTCTCCCTCTCTCCACTCTCCACTCCCCACTCCCTCTTCTCTCCAACCTCCTCGTCTCCCTCACCGCATCCTCTCCATCGCAATGGCGGACGCAGGAGGCGAGCGCCCCGAAGGCGCAGATCTGGTGGAGCAGGCGCGGCAGATCGCTGCGGGCACCTTTGTGAGGGGGCGTGCCGGCGTCCAGCGTGGTGCTCCCTCCGCTGGAGATCTGGAGAAGGCGGGGCGGGCCGCAGCGGCGCGGTCCAGCCAGATGCGCCCGCTCTGGCCAACTCCGGCGAGGCGCAGAAGGTGGAGGCGGGCTCTGGCGAGTCGCAGAAGGTGGGGGCGGGCTCTGGCGAGGCGCACGAGGTGGAGAAGGTGGAGAAGGTGGAGGCCGGCTCCTGCGAGGAGGAAGCGGAGCAGAAGGTATGTGTGGCTAACTTTTAGTTGGTAGTTTTTAGATTGTAGGGTTTGTGGCCAGAACTTTGGTTGGTTAGATTTGTTGGAGGTAGGGTTTTCTCTGCATTAGGGTTTTCGTGTATTTGATTCGTGCAAGAATGGTGGACCACATATGATTATTAGATTAGGTTAGAAGTAGCCAGATTGAGGGATGGGTTTTTTCAGATGCTTATTAGATTAGTAGTGGAATTTTTGCAATTCTTTAGGTGTTTGGAGTCAAATATAAACTTCTGTATTGGTTTGGGTTGGTGCCTGCTTTAGTTCTTTGGCTTGATGATTAATTAAATGGATGCTTAGTTCTAGGGATTATGGCTGTCATAGTTGCAATTCTTAGATGCTTGATTGATGCATGTTGTCATAGTTGCAGTTATTTGTTGCTTGATTGATGCCTGTCAGGCAAAGGCTATGAGATGGGTTGTGCATGGCCTTGTGTTTTTGGAAATTGTCTACGTGAGGTGATTACATGGTGCATTAGTTTGGTTGTAAATATAGTGAAGGATGTGCTCATGTACTGGGTGTTGTCATGTTAATCAAAAAGAGCTTCTCGAGGGCTGGATTTTGTTGTGCTGGATTGGGGCTTCTGAAGGAGAGGGGAAGCGTGGTCGAGGGGAAGGGGCAGTCTATGCTTATTTACTTTGGCTTAGTAGAGGAATTTTGTTGTTGCTTCAGAGATGTTGACAGCATTGAACATCCTCTGCAATGCCGTTGCTTCAGAGATAAAACCATCTTGGGGTTTTTTCAGATGCTTATTAGATTAGTAGTTGAATTTTTGCTTGTTAGAATTTAATTAGTATGAGGATGACTACCTTATTTAAGGGGGGATTTAGGGTCAGATAGATGTCATATGATTATTAGATCTGTAGTTCAATGCTGCTGACATTTATGATTATTTGATTTGATCTGTGGTTCAATGATACTGGATGGAAACATATTTGATTTGGAATGCATTAATTAAGATGTGCCAATGAATTGATTTAGATGATACAAGATTCATCTATAGTATAATTTTTTGTTGTTTAGGTAAGTAATGAAATTTTAGATGTTCGTTGGAGACGTATGCATTTATAGTTGAAGTTGTACCTAATTAACTACTGCATTATGTTAATATGTGTAGGAGCTTTGCTGCATTGTCCCCAAAACAGTAATTTGTGCATATTAAATTTTGTAGTTGGCTTCTGTAATTAGTATATACTATATGTAAAGTGTGAAGTAAACATTCC